CGGTCCAGCCTGCAGAGAGAGCTGGGGTCCAGCAGGTGAACGATGACAAGCTGGTGACTGAGCGGAACAGCGGTGGTGAGAGCGGGGACGAGCCCGCAGCCTTTGGCCCGGGCCTGGCCACCAACAGCCTCATTCCTCTTGAGTTGTCCTGTGACTGACGAGGGGTTGCGTTTCGCATTTCAGGCAAAGAGAAGGCTGGAGCTGGGAGAAGGCGGCCATCAGTACCTCTCCGATGGTCTGAAAACCCCCAAGGGCAAAGGACGAGCTGCGCTGCGAAGTCCAGACAGTCCAAAAAGTGAGTGTCCCTCACCTCCGGCCCGCTTCTCCTTGGTGGGTGTCATGGGTTGAACTGGGCCTCCCCCTGCCCCCCCAGTCCCACCCCAACATGTGTGTTATGAATCCTAACCACTGTGCCGGTAATCATAATCCCATTTGGGGGTGGACGGTCTTTGCTCTATTAATGAGGGCGGTTCAGTGTCGTGCAAATTGAGTCAAATGCTTTTGAGATAGAAAACGCAAGGAGAGACGGGAGACATGCCAAGCCAAACGAAGAGTGCCCAGCAAGGGAAGGTCGGTGAGAAAGGTCCCGACTCCATTGCCAGAGAGGGAACGCCTGCCCTGGAGCCGGCACCCTGCATTTGGACGTCTAGCCTCCTGAACTGAGAAAATAAACGTCTGTTTGCTGAAGCCACCCGCCTGGGATATTTCTGTTACAGACATCACTAAACAAATACAGCAGAATTTGGTTCTGGAAGAGTGGGGCGCTGCTCTAACACCCCAACATTTAGAAACCTAACATGTGGAAGAATTGCGTAGAGCCTGGAAGAGCTCAAAGGTGCCCGATGTAAAAGCCGAGGTGGCCTTGAAGAGACTGTGGGTAAACGAGGGGCCTCTGCCGAGGGCCCAGAGGCAGTGGGTGAGGAGGGCTGCCGAGAAAGTACTGATACATGTGGCATCGGCAACAGAGCATTGCTAGAAATGTGAGTATTGCATGTGCTTCTGGTGAGGCTTTATCAGAAAATGATAGACATGTGATTGGACAATGGAGAAAGGGTGATACTTTTAATTCAGTGGCAAAGAAGTTTAATGTCCAAATGTTTGGTAGGAGGGAGAACTTGTAAGTGATGCACTTGGGTATCTGGCTGAGATGATTTCTAAGCAAGGTCTTAAAGCAGCCTGGCGATTTCTCCATGCCACGTGCAGTAAAATGCCAGAGGACAGAGATGGGCTTAAAAATGAGCGGCGCGGAACAGAAACCGAACCTCAATTTGGAAAATCCTGTTGTACAAACTAGGGACGTGTGACTTCGAATGTTCGCCAAGGAAATGGCTGCACCATCTCCTGTTGAAGAGATTAAGCTTGCGACTGATGGATCTAAGGACCACAGGAGAAGACCCATTCGCTTAGAGAAAGAGCTAGATGAAAGGATACCATCTGTCTCTTGGAATTCTACAACCAGGCTAGAGGGGCTCCATGTGTTCAAGAAAGAGAAGGCTCATCCCTGAGGCAGCTTGGAGATCAGTAGAACTTTTGGAAAGAAGCAGAAACGTCTCTGTTTGAAAGGGTGGCGTTGTCCCTGTCTAAGGTTCAAAGATTCCGAGTGTGGGCTGCCAGGAAGGTATATCAGTGAAATGGGACCACCACCCAAAGTCAATGGGTAGGGGCTGCTCAAGAATAGAAGCAGGGGGGTTCCCAGCCCTTTAGTAGACTAGGAGACGGATGTCCCCCCAAAGCCAAGGGAGCAGAATCGCCAACCACTAAGCCTAGAAGTTGAAGCTGAAACCTGAGAACCTCAACACAGAGGGCAAGGGCATGGTCTCGGAGAACAGGATTTTTTTAAACCGAGAGCTAATGCAACGCTTCTGCTGCTAGCTTTGGGGCTTGCTTTGTATCCAGCCTTTATCCTTTGCTTCCCTCCAGCTTTTCCCATTTGAAAGAGAAATGTGCACCTTGTGCTCTCCCCCCGCTGTGTTCTGGAATCATGACTTGTAGTGCAGATTTCACAGGTTTACAGATGAAGCCTTTTGCCCCGGGATGGAAGATGCTTGACATTTCATCCATATTTGATTTTGTTGTTTCAGAAGATAGGATTTCCAAAGTGGAATCGATTTGAAATCGTTTGGGTGGATACGATAGGGTGAGTGTATTGCACGTGACAAGGACGTGAATTTGCGGGGAGCTACAAAGGAGAAAGACAGGGCATTCTACTCCCAGGAAGAGTTATAATCTCGAAAGCTCACAGGGGCAGTTCTACCCGGTTGAACCCTTTTTCATACTCTCACTATGGGTAGGAATTGACTTGGTGGCGGTGAGATTGTCTTTGAAGGTGGAATATTATCGATCGAACTGTGTCTCTCTGCCTTCCCCTCCAAACCCCCCCTAAAAAAAGCGTTGTGGATCGTAACATTTATACCTGTGGTTATCATGCCATTTTGGAATGGTTTGTGTGTTGTGTTCATGAGACAGGGTGGGTGTAGGATATACCTTGCGTTCCTTAAACATTCTCTCCTTCATGACCATGTGTCCAGACAAGGTATTTGGTGCCCAGCTGCCATGGCCCACTGCTTGGAAAGGGGTCACAATGGGAAGTCTTGAATAGAATTGGGGGGTGGGGGTGGGGGGGGTGATGACGAATCACACTCAGAATCATAAAGGGAACCAGGCTTACTGGTCTTGTACAAACTGGCAGAACCCCCAAGACAACCTTGAAACCTGGCATTGAACTCGCCCCCTGGCTCATCTTTCAGCCTCAACAAATAAGCAGACCTGCAAGGTGAACGGTAGCATCAGAGAAGGATGCTTCCCTTGGAATGGTCCACCCAATGAGATCAGAAGGGACGGAAGCAAGCATTTGCCGGGGACAGAGCTCAGGAGCGGGGAGGGGACAGGAAAGAAGGACAACCGAAAACCGTAAACACGGGGAAGAAGGGGGGAGGATGCTGGCACATTTTAGGCATCGCCATTGACGTCGCGGAACAAAATGGGTATGAATTAGTGATCAGAAAACCAGTTTGCTCCATAAACTTGGACCCAAACCGCAAGGTCCAAGAAAAGACGGAGCCCCACAGTAAATAAAGAAGGAGCCGACATTCTAACCCACACCCGGTCGGCTGTCAAGTCCATGCCATCACGTCTACCTCATGAACAGCCCATGAGAGTTCACAGGGGCACCAGAAATGGACAAAACAGGGTGAACTCGGCTTGCCTAACATTTTCTTCTGTCTTTTCACGAGTTTGTGTGAGGGCACTTTGCAACTGAGGTACCAGGCATGAAACAGGGCTGACCACGGTCTGAATCAAGACTCCACTTTTACAATGAAACAT